CTTAGGTGCGCCCCTAGGCACGCTTTAATTTGAGCGGGATAATAATTATTTTTCTAAAATAAAAATAGCTTAAGTTACTCCTTATAACATTAACTATTTTCATGTGAAAGTCCTTTCAAAATCAGTCCAGCCGTTTCGGAGATTAGGCGGAACAAACAGATAGCCAGACAAACCAAAAAATGTGTTTTCTAATAACTACTGTATATAATTATATTATATTATATTATAACATATGCATTTAATACGAAGTTTATATTTCGACATTACAAGCAGACATTTATCATTTGAAAACTCGTTGCTCATGATATTATCTACCATCTACCTTTCAAATTAGATTTCTATCAGAACCTAAGCATTATTTTCCCATGAAATCAAATTTTTCTTTGGTATATTATAAGATTATCATATAATATAAAATTGAAACATATTTAGTTCCTGAAACGTGACATGAAGGACTAATGTGACTTGAAAGTTTTGCCAGTAAAGGGCAAGTAGGGACAGTCAGTAGTGGTTTGATGGGTCTGGTAAGTTTTCCATAGACCTTTGAATACACAACGATATTTTTCTTTTTTAGACATGAACAAATTTGATATAATAATCTAATACTCGTGGACTACCATTTATATGATAATAATAATACTAATTAGTAGTCGTCTACATAGTTGTTGATAGCACTAAAACTCGTAAATAGCTAAGTACTAAACAAAACAAAAGGAATTCGATTAACAGAGGAGAAAAAGATACTGAACTGTAGTATTTTTGTCTTCTGTACATAAAACACACATTAAAAATATAATATATATTATATAATACACATAAAAAAAGTCTACGTAAAAAGTGAACTAAAAAGATTACAACAACAAGTTAGGAATATAGTTAATAAATATTCAGGGAGTTTTTTGAGATATTGTGTGTGGAATGTGCATATAAATAAAATTCCATACAGTCGCTTTCGATTCACATTTGTTTCACAAAAAAACTTTCTCAGATTTACGAGAATATTTGAACATTTTAAATCAAACTATCTTTTGTGATACTTTCGCGGATTTCGATTTTTGGTTTTCGACGTTTCGAATACTTTACAGCAATCATTATCACGGGAGAGACTAACGTTTTAGAAGTCTCAAAAAATATATTATACAACGATTTAAAAAAATACAAAAATGGCACCAAAAAAAATTGTTAATTTTTATCATTTTTTATAATTTTTTATATAAATTAATCCACGAGAAAAAGTTTTTGTCCAAAAAGTTTTTTTTAACGCGTGTTTCTCCCCAAAACTATAAATCTAGTGCAGTAATCAATATCAATTAATATCAATATACGACCTGCTAATATCATTTAATGATTCATTTATAACTGTGAAATAACTTAAATGGTAAGAAAATTCTACATTAGTAGAAAATATGACTGGTTAAAATATTTTTAATGCTCACTTTCTGTTATCGTTTCACACAGTCGCTTTGAGGTTGTATTACTGGCTGGCGACTTGCCAGTCATGTTTTACTCTGAGTAACGGTTGCGTTGCAACCACATCTTGCAAGTAATTTACTGTGACATCAGTTATTTTGCTCTAGTAATAATCAGTAATAATATCTATCATATGTTCTAATGATATCTTGTGATGCAATTAATTTAGAGGCATGGTTATAAGTACGATTAAATGCCAAAGCTTATATTTTACATAGTACATGGGCCACCGAGCTTCGCTCGGAGTTTTTGGTTCGAAAGTACAATTTTCTTTAAAATAAAAACTAAAAACTTGAATAAATACAAAAAAAAAACAAGAAAAATTATACCTTTGTATCCGACCGGGATTCAAACCCGGACACTTATTCAATCTTGCGCCTAGGCCGCTTGACCATGATGCTTATATCCGAGTGTGCGAAATTATCGAACATAATATTTTGACATAAGTCTAATCTAGATGTATATCGAAACCCCATGTATACTAAATTTCATGAAAATCGTTGGAGCCGTTTCCGAGATTCAGATTATATATATATCGTTTAAATATATTAGATATACCTGTGTATGTTTGTTACGCCTTTATGCTGAAACAGCGACAGACGTTAAATTGCTTTGATATAATTTATAATCATCATAATATATCTTTTATAAATATTCACTAGCATCTAGTTAACAATCAATAAAAAAACATGACTGAACAAGTAATAAAATTATGTATTTAATTTGGGAATTGGGTGTATATATTTTTTGTTTAGCGATATCGTTAATAGTGAGTCGAGAATTTTGATTACTTTTTTAAGAAATAGCTTATTGAATATATATCTCAAGGACGGTCAAACAAAACAATATAATTAAAAAAACCCGAAGGCGTAAAAAATCATTTAAAGTGAAATTAGAGTTGATATACATTATATAGCTTGCTTTCCAATACAAACTTTCATACCCTATGTCCTTCCCAGGGTCTCAAACTATCTTCTTACCAAATTTCATCTAAATCGGTTCAGTAGATCCAGAGATTACACCCTACAACGTCACAAACTCACAAACTTTACCTCTTTATAACATTAGTATAGATATATTGTACTACAGATGTGGCAAAACCTAACTACCTGTAAGTATATCACTCACATGTGTTATACACAAGTACATCGCCATCTGAGGTGACGAGAGTGGTCCTCTCGCGCTTACTCACCGTACAGGTACTTTACGTCGATATTCTGTAAAAGCCTAGTCCTTCTCTCGCTAAGAAAACCTATTCATACAAACCCAAGCAAGACTTTTATATGTACAATTAAATGACATGAAATATTTCACAGCGATGGAAAAAATATTAATAGGAAGCTGTTATCACACTAATATAGATGTGCATGTTTGTATCTGTGTGTCACGTATGTTTGTTAGTCCTTCATGCTAATACAGCTGGATTAATGTGGATAAAATTTAGTACATAAATAAGCCATAACATGGCGTAGCATTAGCTTAAGCGTCACATTTTTAGTATTAAAATTTGCTAAGTGCCATTGATTCTGTCTGTACATAATATTATAAATATAGTTGTCTAGTGCTGCGGAGGTTATGGTTTCGAGTCCCGGGTCGAGCCAAGTTTGATATCGGAGTTTTTCTGTTAAAATATTCTCAGTAACAGCCCGGAGTTGGGAAGTTGGCTGTGTTTCACCCCCGGGCCTTTCAGAGTAAAAGGAATAGAGAGTGCACTTGCGTCTGTGCTTACACTAGTGCACTATAATATCTCCTGCACAGATGGCTACTCTCAGTGAGATTGGCTGCCGTGGCCGAAATCGATCAGATAGATAGATCATAGAAGGATGTTATTATTAAATACAAAAGATGCACGGGACGCACTTGAGCGAAACCATGGCAATTCTATAGTTTTTCATTCATACTTTCTTTGTACCTTCTTACCTACCTCTACCTTTTAAGGCTACCTGCAATTGTCATAAATAAAAGAAGAAAATATACCATAATTCTCTTTATTCATTTATCCAAGGGAAATATAAACATTGTTTATGCATCCTTTGAATTTTCAAATCGATGTATTGTTTATTTCTACTGGTAACATGGCTGCGAGTCAAGGTCGTTACAAAAACACATTTCATATGAAAATGACAGGATATTAAAATAATTGAAAACAAAGCATTTTTCGAATAGTTGGTAATAATTTATTTACATTTTAGGCCAATTTTGGAAATGAAATAATCGACGAGGCATCATATCATACAAAACTTTAAAACTTTTACAGTTCTACTTATGCTACGTTACATTAGGTACAGTTACACACAATTATTGGTAAGGAATAAATGAAATTGTTTGATAAATTTGTATCAATCTATTGGGAAAATTTACATGAATGAATGTCTTATAATTTGCTATCTCCATGTACATAGAAAGAAAATTAGTCTAAAACAACATTATGACGCTTCAGATTTACGTCTTAATTACGAGTAATATCTAAGCTAATTTTCTCTTTACTTCGGTAAAATATTGCCCACAGTACTTTTATTGACGTTCACAATTAACAAACAGGTATTATACATAAATTTTAAATTTTTAAAATTGATTAACTTTAAAAACTTATTATTTTTAAACAAGTAGATTTTTTATTAATGATAAAAACTCAAAAAAGCTTCATTCACAACGATTTTAATGATTCTCTTGCAAGATTTGTAAGAATTCAAATTGCACTATTATTTCGATTTCAAATTATATTCTCAAAAAATCTACAAAGTATAACATTTATTTTACTCTATATTGTAAGCGTTTTATATACAACGGTTCTAAAAAACTATTTTTTCTAATAAACAAATAGGATATTATTTTATTATTAAGGACTAAGTTTGACTTGATTATGGTAAATATGATAAAATGTTAAATATAATCATGTTTTTGAACTGAAGTTAAATAAATATAATCATTATTAAAATCTACAGAAATAACCCAACTACATATATATGTTAAATACGATTTTTTTCTATATTATGTAAGTTTTGTTTTGTTAGGATTACGAAATCAAAGACCATTTTTTTAATTCTATTAATCCATTCGTTAATTTAAAACTAAGTATTTTCATCGCTTTAAATATTATTAATCTTATTTTAAAGCACTATTTACAAAATGAATGCTTATTTTCATTAAAATGAAGCCAACATAAATTAAAAAGGTATTAGATTAAATTATATGCAACAGAATAATTGAAGTTAGCTTATCATTATTCTAATACGATGGAGAATGTACACATAGTATTAGAACAATGATATGAAATATCATTATCATTAATGTAATATTATAATGAATTCCAAAACAATCATTATTATTTATAATTTACAATTATTATAATATATTCACAAAACTCATCAACTAAATGAATCAGAAACATTAATTTAACGATGACAAATGTCAACTACAAAGAAAAGCACTCTTGAATCATTTGATACAGTAAATTGATTTTATAAATATATATTTTTATACATAATTCGTTATAATATAATACATATATTACCATAATTGTTTAATTATGTGTCCAGAAGAGCGGCGAAAGGTACGACGCCTGACATTTGGCTTGAACATTGCTTATGAGCTTGACCGGCTTTCGGAACAAGCACCATTTGTTCCAAGTCACCCTGTTGGAAGAAAATCTTTATGAGAAATGGCGTGATTTATATGGAAAGTTTCCTGGGTCACTTCATTATTGAACATATATTTTACTTATATCATCAGATAAATAGTACGTTTAATATTTATTTCTATAGCTTTTATGAAGTAAGCTCAGAGCTTTGACAGATGCGAAGTAATTACTAGAGTTTTAGTACTGGATGTTAATTAAATATGTAATAAAATGCTCGACGAGTGGATTAAATTTGAAAGTCATTTTCTGAATATTCTTTCTACTTAAATCGTATGTTGTAACCATAAGCTACATTAGATTACACACTGAATCATATATATACATAAAATAAAAACGTCTGTCTATTTGCACCGACTTATTGCCAGTATGGGCTGAACAAATTTTAATAAAACTTTCATTGAAGACAGGTGCTATTTCTCCCAGGAAAATGATAAGGTTCCAGCGTGATAGGTTATTTTTTTTTTTAATAGAATTTAGTGCTAAACCAAAAACGACTTGCCACTAAAGAAAATGAACCTATACTACTTTATTTAATTAAGAACAAAATTCTGCAGACATAATCTTTCCACGGAGTTCAAGAGCAATCTAGTTTAACTGCTTTTACGTGCGTATGGAATTTAATTTAACCAAAAAGACGTGAATTTCGATATATTATTTTCTAAAAATTTATTTTAAGTACTAAATACTATTTTTAATTAAAATATAAATCTCTGAGAAATAGACTCTCGTAGGAGCGGAATATTATAAAGAACTGTGACAAATAATGATAATTGCCACTAGTTACTGCAATGCTTGTTTGTTTTGTCGTTATGTTTTTACCATAATCTTTGTATGGCCCTCCCTTGTATGAGAAATAATCGGTCTAACTATACAGCAAATAGTAAATACACATATTACATATAATATATATTTATAATATAGATGGACTATGACCTGATCCTACTCGTATTAAAGGGAAGCCCAAACTCAACAGTGGTGCGTTATTAAGGGCTGAATACTCGTACATATATAATAAAGCTTGAATTGAGGGGCGATTATGTGTCCAGCAGTAAAACCTTAAATATGAAGAGGCTAAATCGATACTAATATTATAAATGTGAACTCTGCTTGGTACCTTTTCATGCTCAAACTGCTGAACAGGTTTCGATAAAATTTGATAAGGACATATGTAGATTGCATCCTGGGGACCTTTGATCGCTGCCCCACAGGCAAAAACTAATTATTATTATATTTATCATAAATGTACATTGCATTTAAGGTAGTGATCATACTAAAAACGAGTTAAATCTGCGATTACTAGCATCGAAGACAGTTTCATAAAACACGATAATGTATAAGTCGACTGAGCATAGACTTAAATACTATATATATAATAAGTTACAACACATAAATAATAAAAACAAATTTTAGAAATGTAAAAGTGTTTATGTTTGTTTGTTTCAAACTGAAGTAGCTGAAAGGGATGAAGCTGAGTAAATCGTGGATAAGCCGCAAGTATATTACTACAATGTGTCAATATTGATTTAAAAATATTTACAAAAACTGTTTAAATTAAAATGTCGCGTTTTATTTATATAAACTCAAATAAACTCTGATGACTAGATTCTTCTCCATTCTACACGACATTGGCGAAGTAAATTGTGTCCAAATGGCATACCTATAAGCCAAAGAACAAAGAACACTGATGACTGGATAAAGTAAAACCATATAAAGATCGATAAGGAAATTACAATCGCAAAGCTCATATATTATTAAAAGTATTTTTAGTTTGGTGAAATTTTCAAAGTTTATTGCCATTTTTATTGCGAGTCGTTATACCATGTATAGTGTAGGTACACTCCTTTCGTTTTATTACAGAAATTTATTCTAACGTAGTGAATATTTTCTCACGGCAATTTTCACCTTATAACAAGATATTTCATATTAAATTTTTGTTGAAAATACAGAATAAATAAAAATTGCTCGTATTTTTTTTTCTAAATTCCACATAAAGTTATAATTATCCCGGTTTTACATACGATTTGATAGAGTCCCATTAAAACTAGCTTGAATAAAATGATCACGTTGCGCAAGTGATTAGCATGTAGATGATAAAGTCTCGGATTCGATTCCCGAGTGAAGCAAAAATAGTCACTGAGCTTTTCTGTTACGAAATGCTCGATAGCGAAGTTGAGCAGTTAGGAAATCACATTAATCTTTCGATCCCGTACCTTATTTAGTGATCTGAGCGGTCTCGTCAAATAACATTTAATTTTCGGGAAATAACACTCTCTTAGATTTACGCGAATATTTGATATTTTAAATAAAATATTTTCGGATTATTTCGTGGATTTTTTTGGGAAATTTTAACTATAGTCACACTGACCCAAAATTCAAAACGTCAAAACTCATTATTCATAAATAAAGATATATTATTATTTCAATAACAATCATATGACATATCCAATATTAAGATTTTTATTTAGATAATTTTAAACAAAACAATTTTAAAATAAAACTGAAGTGCGTCATGTCATTATAATGTATACCGCAGATCTTGACATAATAAATTTTCATATCATACATACCAAGGTCATGTTATTCTATATCAATATTTTAGATAATTAATACGTACGAGCAATGTGACATTGTGTCTATTTTGAATTTAGAGAGCTAATAATTTATTGATGGACTGTGTTAATATTACAAGAATGTTTTAACATAGTATTATAGTAAAGTAATAATTACAATGAATGAATGATGTTTGAATTGAATGTTTTTAAGGTAAAAATTTAAAATCGAATGATTAATTTTCAGTTTAGTATATAATCTTACTAATAATAATTGTAAATATAAAAGAATAGATGTTTGAATGTTTGTTACTCAATCACGCCAGGACAGTTAAACGGATCTGGATGGAATTTAGCACAGAGATAGATTATAGTTTGGGATAGTACACAACATGGGAAACATTTGTTTTTGTTTTTCTACAGGCAAACCCGAAAGAAGCGAGTGTGAGCCGCTAGTAATTAAATAAATATAAGAGATATAATAAAAACGAAAAATTATCAAATACATTCATCAAAAAACAACTGAATCATTAAGGAAATGACCTAAAAATACAATGTTGTACTTAGAAAAATACCCTAAACGAAAATAGAGCAAACGCTACATTATAAAAATTTACGCAGCTTTTATAAATATTTGCTACGTCCCTTTTTATGGTTCGCTTACGTTTCAATTTAATAAATTTTCTACTCACTGAGAAAAGATAGCCTATAATGAGATCAGCGTCCCTCGGTGTGTCTAACGCGTCCTTTTCTAGGACATCAGTTCGAAGCCAACGGCAGTCGATGAAAACCCTCACTGTGTTATCGTCGTGAACGCTGTGGAGAAAATCAGATTAGTTGGACAAACTATTTATAAGGATTCGCAGTAGCTCAATTTATTTTCATGTAGATTTTACTTTGTAACATTCAGTTATTTATCTATACAGATAAATATAATTGAAGTGTCTGTTTGTAATGTCAAACTGAAAGCTTTTTAGTAAATGCATATGAAATTATGTACGGTATTAATAAGAAAAAACAATTTATAAAATGTTGTCTGTCTTTCTTTCTGTTTACTGTTTGTTCCGGCTAATCTTCGAAATGGCTGTACTAATTTTGATGTTTATTATAAGGAGTAAATTAGTCTTAGAAAATTTGTTATAAAGAGTAATTTAGGCTAAATTTGCATACACGTAATCACGCGTATACATATTACATATTCATGGGTAATACAAAACATTTTTCGGGTAAGCATATAGGGTAATATATGTTCAGGTGGTCATGACGTGTCATTTCCATATGGAATATCATATTTTGCTTTTCAATTATCGATGTAGCTAAAGCATTATAGACTATTTAAAAAAATGTAGTAACTAATATATAAAAAAAATATCCTTTGTTCGCAATAAAATATTTACACATCTATCTGTCTAAAATTGTGGTTTTGTTTATATGTTTAGTTTGAGCAAAACATGGAGACAGCTGTGGTCGACAAACGCGGGTAAAGTAAATAGAAAAACTGGCTCAAACGAAATGAAAATTTTCAAAGGATATAGGAGAATATTAAAAGTACTTTTATTTATCTTCCAGTGAATATACAAAGGTTCAAGGGAAAATACCAAGAATATATTAAAGTAAAAACAATGTGTGTATATCTTATAATATTAAGCAAACAATTTTTGTATATATACCTATGTAATATAAAATTTCGTGTATCTCAGAAACGTTTCTAACGATTTAGATCAAGTTTTGTATTTAGATTAGGTTTTGATTTTTAAGGTGTATTTTTAGATATTAGATAGAAAAATTCCATTTTTTACAAAAAAGACAATTTTTTATTGTTAAGTATCACAGATTTTTCTATATACTCTCATATTGATGTCATATAGCGCCATCTCGTAAATTTTTGTGGTACTTGCATTGTCGCCAATGGATGATAACCTACTGAGCAAACGCCTACGCCGACAGAAGCTCGGTCGTCCAAGTAGGTACTCATAAATATAATAATTTATGTTATACTCGTAGTATAAGTAGCAAGTTTTGGAGTGAATTTGACATCTTAAATAGATACCTGTGTTATTGATATGTAATTAAACTGTTTATAAAGCATTTAAGTAGTTTTGATATAAGTTCAATATCGGAAAACACTTTAGATAAAATTAGTTACGGGCCATATTATAATATTACATCGAAGTTTAAATTTTGTAGTTTTGAAATCTACCTTAGTTTAAAAGATAGTTTATATTATGGTGATAAATGCCAATGTCCAAACAATAATAAAAAAAAAATTCCCGATTTTATCAACATAGCTATTTAATAGAATCTTCAAACGAGAAGGACGTAAGATTTATTTGTTTGTTTGTTTGTACCGAATAGGCTCCGAAACTACAAAACCGATTTAGATGAAATTTGGTAAAAAGATAGTTTGAAACCCTGAAAAAGACATAGAATAGCTTTTATGTCGGAAATCATACTCCCTTTGGGTAAAAAGGGGGATGAAAGTGTATATGACGAAGCAACCTAGAGACGAAGCCGAGTGAAGCGAAAGGTGAGTCGCTAGTCTTTCATAAATTACTTAAATGATTACCCAATCTTTATCTACGGAAGTATTATATTATCTTAAAAACAAAAACATCATCAAAATCAAACGTGACCTTGAAATTTTTTTCACTAAAGAAAGAAAACCGTCGTCTTACTTTGTTTTAAGATCTTCACTTTGAATCAAGTATCGATATTCTTAACAAGGAGGCTTTAGCATTCTTATTAGCCCCACTTATAATTTGTATAGCTACCCTTAGCCTCAAAAAGGACCTTCTAATTGATATTTCAAATAATAATTGAACCGAACATAAAATGAATTTACTAATTTTACACAAGAGTATTCCAATCAAAATAAATACACGAAAGGTTTTTTTCATTAAAACAATATTTTCATAACTAAAAATAGAAAAAAAACCCGACTGCGTAAAAAGAGGATGAAAAAAATTTAAACAAGTTGATGAAGGAATATACTTAGTAATAACTATTATTCAGTGGAAGACAAACATGTAATGTGCCCCGGGTTTGAGTCCCAAATATAGTTATTGGGTTATTCAGTCTACAAATTCTCAGTAAGGCCCAGAGTTTAAATGTCAGCGGTGATACATCTCTGTGCCTCGGATAGCACGTAAAGCTGTCGGCTCCGCACCGGATATTACACCAGTCCGGTTGAATTGTCGTCTACCGGTGTTTGAGAGTGAAGGGATACTGCATTTATATTTGCGCGTAGACTTATGCCCGATTTCACCAACATCACTTAAGCTACTACCTACGTATGGGATCCCTAGCTTAAAAGTTCCCCTAAACTAGCCCCTAAATTAAATTTTGTTTACCATCCTCAGAACCCGTATTTGTAGTACCTATATTTAGGTGGCATTTTATTATTTTTTTTAAATTTTTAGGTGACCCCTAACTGTCAGTGAAACAGAAACTGTCCCCTAACAGCCCCCTAACCATGCTTAGGGGATCCCTTAAACTTAGGTGACGTTGGTGAAATCGGCCATAAGACCCTATAATATTGGCAAAATTCATTAAGAGACATTACTTATTAAAAAAATGTAAAACTAAATTTACCTTATAGCAATATGATGCCACCTAAAATCGTACAAAGGTACAGCTAAGTATATAGATCTTGAGGATCCACCTCCAGCGTGAACTAAACGCGCAGCTCCTCTGCCTGCTAGTTCGAGTGACAGAAACGAACCCGTTCTACGCCGTGAACGGAGAGAAAACAGAGTTCCCTGCCCATAACCGCCACTCTGAAACAAAATTACTATACAAAATGGATTCTTCAAAGTTATTGTTATTGAAGAAATATTAAATATACATTGTAATAATCAAGTAAAGGAAAATGAAACACATAAAATTTATTTTTATTAGTAAGATATCTGATTCATCCTGATGTTATTCCAAATATTTTATTTTCTAAGACTCAATATATCAGTCAGTCATTTTTAGGATATTAAACGTACAACATTTTTTTAATAATTTATTAACAAGTCGTCTTCGCTATCAATTTTATAAAGAAAAAACATACATATATGAATGGTTTTTACCTATCTCAATACCTAAAAACTGACTCTTTCAGAAAAAATAAATAATTAGTGACACTAAAGCTTGTCAATAATTGCTACTAAACAAAAATAGAACATCGATTGGCAAACAGAGGAGAAAAGGGTACTGTTTTGTCTATACCTATTTATGTACAGATAAATAAGCAAAGAATTTTAATTTTATATTATACTAGCAGAACCCGCGGCTTGGCTCGCGCTAAAACTACAAGAAAATCTCTAGAAAGGTAGTTTCATACAAACTTTCATCCCCTATTTTACCTCCTTACAGAATGAATTTCAAAAAATGCTTAAATATGTGTCTATTAAATTGTATTGAAGAGAATTAATACCAAGTTTCAAGTAATTCTGATCATAAATATTTTCCTGTAGGAATTAGATAATGTCCCGTGGTAAAAAAAGTAGCCTATATCCAGTCCTCCAACTATCTCCACACAAAAATCACGCTAATTAGTCACTCCGTTTTGACGTGAAAGAAGGACAAACAAATAAACAAACAAACAAACAAATACACTTTCACATTTATAATATTTGTATATTGATTAGTCAGCTAAGACATAACGTAAGTTACTCATTTAATTTCATATAGGTACCTACATATGTATGAAATATATATTGGTGACCTTAGTAGTGTAATTATATATTTGTTATTGTTTATTTCGATGGTAACAGATTCAAAGGTGAATATTGTTTATATTGATCGCCGATCGGTAACGTCTCACCGTCTCTTCGTAATTCACTACACCTGTGTCAAAAACTCATAAAACTCTAAATCCTATTAAAAGCGATTTTGATAGGATGAAGCCGTTCTTTTTCTTTAATTTATTCTGCTGTTAAAAAGGTAGTAGTAGCCCAGTGGTAACACGCTCGCTTGTGACACCGAGTGAAGCGGGTTCAAATCCCGGGTCTCGCACCTCTGATATTTTCATGTGCGAATCATTTCTAACATGATTATCGCTTGCCTAACGGTGAAGGAAAACATCGTGAGGAAACCTGCATGTCTGAGAGAACCTAGCAAGTTTTCGAAAGACATTTGAAGTCCGCCAACCCGCACTTGGCCAGCGTGGTAGACTATGGCTTGATCCCCCTCGTTATTATCTGGTTTTTATTTTTCTCGGTATAGAAAGTACGTAACATTATTTTAAATCATTTATCTGCCAATGAAATTGATTCATGATATCGTGTCAACCAGAATATAAACTTTATGTGGGGGAGATTACAGTTACTATAATCTATATACATATATAATGAAATTCTGAGTAGAATCTGTACATTGAATATTTTTTGGAAAGTCTTATTAAAATAGTCATTATTGTGATACAGAGGCCGAATCTATAGTTTTTAGAATTTTCATCTTTCTGTCTGGAAATGCATCACGAGAAACCCACTGGACAGATTTTGATGAAGTTTGGTATGATGATAGCTGGTTATCGGGGTCAACATATAGGATACTTTTTACTGCGTGAAAATATCTTATCTTTGAGAAAGCTATAGTAAACGTTAAAACCCTCGTTTTATTTATAAGTTCAGAGAAATGCTTTTCCCATTTCGATTAAAACAAAACTTAAAGATAAGGAAAAACGAAAAATTAGGAATGAAGCGCGAAACCGGAATACAAAGTGCGTTAAGAAGAATTAGACTTTATAATTCTTTAGCAAAATCCTATTTTCGCGACGTAATAAAAGCTGTGGCCGTAAATAATGTTACGCTCTGGAAATTTTTTTCGCTTACAAAAATTCTATTTCATAATTCGTTTCTCATTTATTTTAATTAAAGCTGTGTAAGTTGGGAGAATTTTAACATTACAACTGGCGTTTGACGTACCTACATGTAGCTTTTTTATTATTTATTTATAAAACCTTAAACTGAGTAATTGGCAAAGATTTCTAGGCGATAATATGTTGCCAGTGTTGGATAAATAAATAAATATGTTGGGACTTTAACACACAGCACCATCTAGTTCCATGGTAAGCTACGAGGCTTACGTTATGGATACCAGATAGTTGATACACTATACATATGATATGATTTTAAAGACATACATATTATAAATATAAACACCCATAACTAGAGTACAAAGCGTTCGTGCTCATCACACAAATGAATCCCCAAGCGGGACTCGAACCGAGACCGCTGGCTCAGCAAGTAGGGTCACTACAAACTGAGCCAAACGTGTCGTCGAGTGTTAAATACGTAGATAACAACAATCCGTTAACAATTTTTAAGAAAAAGAAACAAATTGGGATCAATAAGGTCACAAAGGTGTGTTCTAGGTATAAAAGTCCCAATTTTCTTTACAGCAGATACTCAAAGTATTATAGAACGGCAGCCATACAGTTAAATTTAACAACAAAACTTTAGGGATTTCTCCGACGGATATGGAAAATAATGACTGAAAGCGCCTATATATACGAGTATATCATAAAGCTCGACACTTAGTTTTTCATACCTACTTTGAACTACTTTTTATTAGGAATCATAAAAATTCAGCAAACTAAGTTGAAAAAGTCCCAACTAATATTATAACTTCGAATAAGTGTGTAGTTTGTTCTACTCTTACGTAGTAATGAGGCAACAGACTGATAATATTATGGTTATCTTTGTACTGGTAGGATCTTCAAATAATATTAAATATAGAATAATCTTGCGTCTATAACATCAAAGAAAAGAAATAAGAAAAAGCCAAACAAAGCTGTCACTGAAGAAGAAAAAGTGTGCTTTTTATATACGCTGCTGAGATTTTATTTTTTTATAACGCAAAATGTGATTATACTCTGTCTAGTTTGGTTATAATAGCAAGATTTTCATTGCATAGTATTATAAGCATCTAAATTAAGGTACCATTTTAGGTTTCAATCGTCTTCTATGAGATTGTGATCTAATAATTGTTAAAATTTAAATAGATATCTTTCCAAATAGAGTGAGGAGTGACTACTTTTATCTCAATAAATAATTATATGACTATATAAAAATATTTCAAAGCAAAGTAAGATACTGTCTAAGAGAATATACTCTCTTTAATACGTTGATTAATTGAAAACTTATGCCGCTAGCTCTTGCGAAAGTAATGCAGTTTTCTCGTAAAGTAAATCTATTTGGCACTCGCCGTATATACCGGGTGAATGAAGCAAGTCGTTTCATACTGTCATTTACTTGAGAGTGCATTTATGTGGAAACGCATCGTGCACTCTTGTTACACACACGTTTTACAACTTAAGATATTAAACTTTAAAGAGGCATAGATTACTTGTTATATCTGTCTATGTATTTTATATATACTATATATGTACGAGTACTATATAACTGCCTCGGTGGTGTAGTGGCTAGCATTTACGGCTGCACACCCGGACGCCCAGGGTTCGAGTCCCGGGTCGGGCCAAGTTTAGTTATTGAGTCTTTCTGTATAAGTAAGCCTCAGTACAGTCCGAAGTTGGGAAGTTAGCGGTGTTTCACCCCCGTGCCTCGGAGAGCACGTCAAGCCGTCAGACGTCGGTCCTACACCTTTGCTCTCACTGGTCGTGTCAGTGGTCGTCCCACCAGAGTATGAGAGTGACAGGAATAGAGAGTGCACCTGTGTCTGCGCGTACACTTGTGCACTATAATATCTCCTGCGCAGTTGGCTAGCCTCAATGAGATTGGCCGCCGTGGCCGGAATTGGTCGGGAGAACATTAAATATGTACGAGTAGGTACATACTTAATTTGTATATTAATCAAAAATTACTATAAAAGACATTAAGAAATATAAAAATTGATTTGATAAAATAGTGACGGTATCGTTATTGGCATTTTTATTTGTTTCAATTCCCAGTTCAAGGAAGGTTTTTTTAAAAAAAAACAGCCTGTATACAAAATCAATGTACACTTAATAATTACTGCACAAATCACGTCCACGTGGAATAAGGGCAAGAATGCTAGCATTCCTCTGCTCAATGACAATACCGGTTATTTAGGCAGAAATAGAGCCAGCTCTTTTGTCGCCAATTTAGCACTACGGCTCCAAAGGGTTCTATAGCAAGTGGTATAAAGACATAAGCCGTTAATTCATATGTTATCTAATATCTATACATAATATAATGAAATTGTAACTAAACCGAATCTGTACATTAAATATTTTTTTAGAAAATCTTATTAAAATAGACATTATTATCGATACAGATACCGAATCTATATTTTTTAGAATTTTTGTCTGTTTGTCTGTCTGTCTGTCACCGCCTCACGGAAAAGCCACTGAAGCGATTTTAATGAAATTTGGTATGATGGTAGCTTTATATTAGATAATCGGGGTCAACATATAGGATACTTTTTACTGCGGGAAAACATAACATCTCATCTCTGAGAAATCTTTACTAAACGTTAAAACGAAAGGGTGAGTTGCTAGTATAATCTTTATTTTGAATATCCGAAATGGTCACTCAGCTAAGTGCCAATAAAGTTAAAGATTATGAATTAAGTTCTGTAATGCTTTCTCTAAGAAAACATAACATAATTTATTTTAAAAACAAAATATATAAAGAACATTAAGTTTATTAGAGCTTAACCTTTTCATCGCTAATATAGTAATGGCAATACTAACATGATGCCAGGTAACATCAATAAGTTAAAATGAGATTCGTGCAGAAATCCCATAAAAGAAAGCTCTTACTATAATAACATAAAAGTTGATATCAAAAATCTATACAAATACCGCCCGCGTAGTTCAATTATGTATTCCTATACTTTTATAAATTATAGCCTATGTGTTACACGAATTTTAACTGTCTAGTGGCTAGCATGTACGGCTACAGATCCGGAGGTCCAGGGTTTTAGTCCTGGGTTGGTCCAAGGTTATTTATCGAGTCTTTCTGTAAAGAAAGCACGGGAGTCCGGTTTTGGTTCTCATCTCTCACCGGTAGTGCTGAATAGGCATGCGTCCCTTTGAGTTTAAGAGTGTAAAGAATAACCTGCATGTACACTTGTACACTACAACATCTTCTGCGTAGATGGCTAGTCTCAGTGAGATTGACCGCAGAGGCCGAAATCGGTCAGAGCAATATTATTATTTTATTATATTATTTGTAAAATTTCATCAAAATCTATTTAGTGTTTTTTGTATGAAAGAGTAGCAAATACATGCATACAAAATTTCACCTTTATAATATTAGTAGGATTTCGTTTAACTCTATAGGTATTAGACTAATTCTCACTGTTTTTTCTAAGTACATATTCGGTACTAAATTTCTACGGTAATATGTTAAGATCTACGTGCTTTATCTAGACTAGTCTGTACAGTATACATATATTTTGTTTACTCTACATAATGAAATTTGTCGTCACGTTAATTAACAGCTGTATATTATGTGGCTTTAAATTAGTTTTTTTCATTAGTTCCAGCTGAACATAAAAGTTCTTTTAATACTAATAATTTTAATATAAAACAAACAAAATACTCGTAGTACGAGGTAGTTTATGAGTTTGTGACGTTGTAAGGGGTAATCTCTGGATTCATAGAACTGATTTAGATGAAAGGTAATAAGATAGTTTGAGACCCTGGGAAGGATATAAGATACTTTTTATCCCGGAAATCATCCCTTAAGGTGAAAATGGGGATGAAAGTTTGTATTGAGAAGCAAGCTTGAGACGAACCCGAGCGAAGCGAGGGTGAGTCGCTAGTAATATATAAAAAACAAACTCACTAAATATCTGTCTGCTTGTAAACTTACCTCAGGCCGTAGCCTCAATGAGATGAATAATGTGAACTCTCTTGGAAACGTCTTCCCTGCTGCGAAGAGTTCTGAAGACGCGATCCAAATATATGAGTTAGGCTTCAAACTGAAGGCATGGGGCCTATCAGACACTGGACCCCATCGAGCTTGTGCTGGATGAAAATTACGCCTTGCACCCGGAGCTAATGGGTTTATTGCACCTGTATAAATAAAAAAAACAGTTTTATTAAAATTGTTAATTATTTTGTATTATATATATATTTGTATTATACGTGTTGAGCAGTATCTCGTAAACTCAGTTGAATTTAAAGTAGTCTTTTACTAATTTCATTTCTTTTTAAGTTATTAGTCTTAAACAGAAATATTACTATGTATATATATATATATATATATATGTATATATATATATAATAATCATCACGACTACCATTTACATTTTAGAGAAGTACCACTGCTTAAGTAGGAAATGAAAAGTTTTTGTATTATGTACCAAAAAACAGTTATCATCATGTACATATGAGATATACACTTGAATTTCAATTTTGCCGCTCTGAAGAACGCTGCAAATAGCTGCGCAGTGCGCAGTATTTAATATAGAGACCAAACAGCGGTCTGTAACGCGAATAGCATCGTTAGATTCGTGAAACTTTCAAGCCCAGTTGAGAGCGAGCAGCTCAATTTACTGAAGTTAAAAGATGTTACATTCAAAGATATTTGAAATCATTTTTGTAAAATAGTGGTTAGGCACTATCTGTAAGAAGTGTATAACGCCTTTGAGACGTCTATAACCTTAGTCTCTCTCGTGACCATGATTGCTGTAAAGCATTCGAAACGTCGAGAATCAAAATTTAAAATAAATTCGCGAAATAATCCGGAAAGATAGTTTAATTTAAAATGTCAAATATTCGCGTGAATCTAAGAAAGTATTAGAATATTATAGACTAACATTATTTACAAATAAACTAGAATTTACAAACCACTTATTTATAATTATAGGTTTCCATGTATATATCAATCTGTTGTCTTTTATTGGTGGTCCAACCAATGTTTATAAAAAATTACTCCTTTTTTTAGGATTTTCTTCATTTTTTACATATTATAATTTAATATACTATAATAATCTTATTTTACTGACCAATCTCCTTCGTGTCTTTTCCATTCTACGTGATATTGGTGAAAGTATTTAACTGGCATGTTTTGAAGCCACTAGAGAATTGAATTGAAAAAAAAATTATTTTGTCAAACCATTTATATGTTAAGGAGAAGTTAAGCAAGCTTTAGTCGTAGCATTTACCTGGTGCAAGAGGATTTATAGTACGTACATAATGGAAATAATATTGACTTGCCAATTTTGGACCCAAGTTGGGATTTAGAGGGTTAATAAATTTCGATACGTTTGTGGCCATAGTATAAGTTTTATTAATTTGTGCTTGAGTTTGAGAACTTTAAATTTTCTAAACAAGAAATGAAACTGAAAAAATATGCAACAACACAATTATGTAAATTTGATTTGAAACGAATTTTTAATAATTTTATATATTTACCCGACTGCGACGACGCCTAAAAGAGGATTATGTGTTTGACCTGTATGTATGTTGGATGCTATATTCACCCTTAAATACTAAATGGCTAAAGTGATTTAAATTATTACTACGTCGATAACATGACTGTCATAAGGTACGAGTATATTATCATTAAAAATCGACGTGGTGCAGTACACATCTCGCACCAAGAATGAAATTTAATGTATCACTGATGACGTCATGATACTTTTCAACCTGTTCCCATATTTTAGTTCACTTTTTAAGCAGTCGTGTTTTTTATTTTTTTTTAATAATTTTATCCACCCATTTCGATTATTAATGTAAATTATTCGGAACGAGTACACAAACAATGTTCCTGTATAATTAAATAATATACGTGAATTAAATTTCTTAATTATTATGAATTTTATTCATTTTCACACATTTTTTTACACAATCACTTGTCTGTATTTTGTAGCTCATTCCATTTCGAATTCACAGTAAAAATACCCAAACTGAAATATAATATAATTTCTAAGTCCAATATTATTAGTCAAAATTAATTTGTATTTTCTTATAATAATAAAATAACTTAATTCTAAAGAATGTTAGAGAATCGTGAAAAAATATCATTGCTTGAAATCGAACTTAAAGAGCATTTAATAGTATTTTCAATGTCTTTTTAGTTAAACAAACTTACCCTCACAGTCGAAGGTGTTACACGTTCGCGCTTGCTCTCCATATCCTTCACAAGTAGCTCTAGAACAGTATCTCTTGCGAGTCTGTCTTCCACCACCACAGGTTTTACTACACACCCCCCACTCTCCCCATCCAGCCCAGCCTGTGAAATAATGAATAATTAATAATAATAGCTAAGTATCATAATGTTATATATAATATATTAAGGTATTCTCGAAGTTGGGGATGTTTCAACCCCGTGCTTTAGAGAGCACGTAAAGCCCTTGGTCCTGCACCTGATATTTCACCGATCGTGCCGAATTATGGTCTCATAGAATTTGAGAGCGAAAGGAATAAAGAGCGCATTAGTGTTTGTGCATCTACTTGTGCACTAATATATATCTTGTGTAGTTAGCTAATCTCAGTTAGTTAGAAATCGGTCAGAAGGACAACATAGGTATTTTTAGAATGAATTTTATTTTAAAAATTGATAAGAACGTTCAATATCTTTCAGATTTCTAATAGCTTTCAGAATCGCTTTCAATATAGGTCATGAAATTTTAAGTGGTTATCATATAAGATAATTCTATATCATTATAACATATTATTTATAGTTCTGAAAATATAATAGAAAATACTTATAATATGAAAATTTACAATTGTCAATTTATATGTAAATTAATTTTTAAGCAAGTGTCGTACTTTTTCCCACCCCACGTAACAAGACCGTCGGGTTTCCAACTTTCACACAGTTTTCAGCGGTTAATAGTTCAGATATTGATAGATGAGCTCGCTTTGGGATATTGCGATAGTTTTGCACTTTGAAAGTTTTGTTGCGATAAAAATAACGTGTTTATTACACACTATATATTCTTTTATATTAAAACTTTTAAAGTTAGTGCTAGCTTTGGCTTTAGGTTTTAACATAGTTTTGAATTTACTACACATATGTTTTCTATGGTCAATATAAAATATAATTGATTTGATGATATTTGATCAATTTCAATAATTACCTAACCAGTTGGTACTAATTTAATTTTAAAAACTTACGAGTATTTTCAATGAAAAACTTAAAAGTAGTCAAATATCAAGAAAAATTCAAGTGTCAATTAACATATTTTTTTTGTTTTTGTCTTGTAACGTGTCCTATAATTATTATTTTAATAAACAGGTAAATTCTTATTTCACTCAATTCATTCCACAAAATACAAGAAATAGAAAAAATATCTATAAAAGAAATATGTATGTATGTACGTACCAACAGCATTCCATATAGCTATATCCACTCCTAAGCTCCAGGGTATGGCCGCTGCAGTTGCTTCTAACCAGGGTCCATCAGGAGGAGTAGTTTCTAAGTCCACAGCTGGATCACTGACTCTTGCGAAGACCACCAGCTCGTTTTGTGGAACCATACTCCAGTTAAAACAGTCTTTGAGCTGTGAACTGACTTTCAAGTTCACCTGTCTGAAGGACAAAAATATATAGTTATTATTTTTGTAATAAAAATTATGATTTATGATCGTTGATATAATAATGATAAAATCAAAGAAATTTGGACTTTATTTTTATTACGAAGTATTATATTATAAAGTCTGTATTAAGTCTACCAGCGCACTCAGTATGTATTTGTTCAAGCTAGCCTAGATTACTGTACACATTTCCATACGGTTTTCATTAATAAAAAGGAGGGTCTATCTATGAATGTTATATATACATAACCGATTGTTATGATGATATTTGTACATTAAGTTGAAAACATCGTCACCTCTGAGGGCTTTCATAATATCAACAAGCTTTCTATGAATTAAAATTATGGTATCATTATCTTTACTAATATTATAAACGAAATAGTGCCTTTTTTTTTTAACGTTGGGAAATGCATTTACGCACGACGTGTGGGACTCACCGGCGTAATACAGCCAGTACTACCCACTAAAACCCAACAAAACCTTCCCCCGTCTTAATGGGGCGTCGCAGGATCGCTTACGCATTCAACTACGACGCCCCGACGGCAGGTCTGTCAAAACAGACCACCACAACCATGGGGTTGCTCCAAGGTCCACTCTGCTATCAGAGAAGTACCAGGAGCAACCCGCAAGGTACACCGCCCCCCGAAGAGGGCCACCTCCCCCCGCCCACCGAAGTGGGCAACCTCCCTGTGCGTTTCTTAGCTTTGCGCCCGGTTGGATTGCCGGGCACTACTGAGCCCCCCCACCACGACAAGGTGAACGCACGTTGGGGGGGAAACGAAATAGTGCCTGGAAGTCGTTTTTTTTTTAGTTTTTATCCATATTAATATTATAAATGTGAAAGTTTATGAGTATGGATGTTTGTTACTTTTTCACGCCTGAACGGCTGAACGGATCTGAATGAAATTTGACACAGAGATAGATTATAGTCTGGAATAAAACATAGGCCTTTTTTTATCCCGGAAAAATGTACGTTTCCCGTGGGATAGGTTTGTTTTTGTTTTCCTAGAGACGGACCCGAGCGAAACGAGGGTCAGCCGCTAGTTAAAAAATAATTAAATTGTACTATAATACACATAAGGTGGTAAACGTTCGCATTTTGAATATTAGACGTAATCAACAGAAGAATTATAAACAGATATATAGATCAAAGATTTTGCGTTCTATTTGTTTAAAAGTACTTGAAACAAAATAAATGTATTCGATGTAGCTTTTGGAATACGAAATTGCTACGAAGCGACACCAATATGAGTCTATTTATCTCAGTGCGCATGAAAACGGAGTGAATAATAGGTATTCATAGATTTATTTCCACTGACCACGTCCTGTCTTGTATGATTTTTCATACAATGTTATGTTCACAATAAATCGGACTTCATTTTCTAAGAAATATTTTGTATTTTTTTGCTATTTTATTGAGGAAATGAGTTGGAAAATATGCTACTGCTAAGCTTTTATGTATAAAAGACTTAATAAGTGTGTCAGTTATTGTTTATAGATTAGAATATCCATACTAATATTATAAATGTGAAAGTGTGTTTGTGTGTATGTTTGTCCTTCTTTCACGTCGAAACGGAGTGACGGACTGGCGTGAGTTTATCTGTGGAGATAGATAGAGGGCTGGAGAGTAGCGTAGGCTAATTTTTACCGCGGGAAAATTATACAACCAAAAAAATATTTAAGATCAGAATTAATTGAAACTTGGTATTAATGCTTTTCAATATAATTAACTAAATACGTATTTTAGCATTTTTCGAAATTCATTCTATAAGGTGGTAAAATAGGCGATGAAAGTTTGTATGAAACTACCTTTTTAGATTTTTTGTAATTTTAGCGCGAGCGAAGCCGCGGGTTCTGCTAGTAATACATATATAATAAGCTTGTTTGATCAATAAATATTTAGTTATTATTAACTAAATATTTTTTTCGAGTGATATAAATATTTCAATTTTCTTATGAAAATTGAAATAATTATATCACTCGAAAATCACTGGACTTAAATAGAACGAAGTTCTAACTATATAATAATACTAGCGACTCATCCTTGCTCCGCTCGGGTTCGACCTACTTACGTTTTAACGTTTAGTATAAATTTCTCAGAAATGAGATATTTTCCCGCAGTAAAAAGTATCCTATATGTAGATCCGGATAACCAGCTACCATCATAACAAATTTCATCAAAATCTGTCCAGTGCTTTCTCGTGAAGCGTTCTCTGTTAGACAAACAAACAGAATGACAAAAATTCTAAAAACTATAGATTCGGCCTCTGTATCGATAATAATTGCTATTTCAATAAAATTTATCAAAAAATATTTAATGTAATAAATATCATTATATAACAATAAATTGAAATTCGACTCAGAATTTTATTATTTGTACTCGTATAAATTATAAATGTAAAAGGATTCTTCCGCACCAAGTGGAGCGACGGATTGATGTGACATAAGCTACTTTTTACCGCACTGTAGTATATTTCATTCCCACGGGAAAATACGTTATAGTAAAGCTCATACACGGGAAATTTCGATATTGTTTTCCATATCTAAACTTATCTACTTGATCATAAAAGTATGCAAATAAAGGAAGAATTCAAAAAGCATTATTAAGTTACATTTCAATTAATACTTTCTTAGATTTACGGGAATATTTGATATTTATGAAAAAAACAATTTTTTTCATGGATATGTTCTGAATTTTGGTTTCTGAAGTTTCCAATGATTTACTCTCCCGTGACGATGATTGTTGTATTTAAACTAGCGACTAACCCTCGCTTCGCTCGGATGCGGACCTGAGCCTGAACGCCTTTAAAAGGCATAAAAGACAAACGTCCAAAGATTTTTTTACACTAGGAACCTTTGCAAGCATACACAAAATAACCCACTAGACTTTCATCACAATCGGATCAATGGTTTAGGAACGCATTGAGGACAAACATACGAACATTAATTTTTATTTATATATCAAAAGCTCATGCCTAATTAACCCATCAACCAGAAAAGCGCAGATAAAAGCACGGCTAGAAGAAGCTAATACCAAATATAAAATATTAAGAAAAATTTAACTAATCAGATGTAACTTGGCACTAAGCATGTACAAACAGACTTAAGTTAAACATTCTTTATTTAATCATTTTTTACTAACGAGGCTTTCACATTAAAGAAAGGCAACAAATTCAATCTGCACAAATAAATGTAGGGTTCACGCCGTGCTCGTGCGTGCTATTCCAATCACGCAACACTTTTGCAAAGAGAATTTAATTATACGGATCGCGATCTCTGAACTTAGTTCGCTAAATTGAGTTTCACACTAATCTTTATCTTGCTCTACGAAGTTTGTTAGGTCTGGTCTAAGAGTGGTTGGTTTTTTTTCTAAGTATATATTTTAGAAATATATCTTTGATATTTGAGGTCTTAGACTAGGTTGGGGCGTAATATAAATGCAAAAATATGTCTGATACCTTGTCTGTTTATGTAAAGATACGATGTGATTTTAGCGTTGAGATTATGGCCGGAGAGTTTTTATACTGGCATATAGTTTACACTAGCATAGTCCGCGGCTCCGCCCACGTTCAGATGAGTAAAAACCAAATTCATAGGTTTTATATATTAGTATAACTCTTACATTGCAGTTTTTGCATTTTTTCTCAGAAATGGGATATTTTCCCGCAGTAAAAAGTATCCCATATGTTGACCCGGATAACTAGCTATCACCATGCCAAATTTCATCAAAATCCCTCTAGTGGTTTTCCTATGATGCGGTAATAGACAGACAGATAGACAGACAGACAGACAAAAATTCAAAAAACTATAGATTCGGCCTCTGTATCGATAATAATGTTTACTTCACTAAGATCTTCCAAAAAATATTTAATGTACAGATTCGGCTTAGTTACAATTTTATTATATGTATGGATAAAGATAAACTTAGTAAAATATACTAAAATCGCTAAGAATAGCTAAACAGTAATTTTCATAGTTAAATAAAATAATATTACAATAATATTTATTTTAATCTCAGTTTAGCTTTATAGTTAAAAGTAAATTCCATGATTAGTGCATTTTTCGCATTTAAAGATAATGAAAAATTCTATCATCATTTTTATATTTTGTCATATTTTACAAAAGTTATGTAAATATGGGTTTTAAGTATGAAATAAAAAAAAATGTAACGATTTTAAACATCCACAAATTTTCGCTTACAACTTGTTCCACAAACCAAAACTTACGCGTGATCCTAACACTCTTCTTAAAGAACTTTGGTACTTTTAGCCACTACTGAAGCAGTTATTACCTTTTGTTATTTCCAAATAGTTTCCCTAAAATTTTGAGCAAAAAGATTGAATAAGTAACTACTATGCTTTACTCTTACATTAAAGAATTATAATATAGATGAAGTCGCCAAAATAATGGTTAAAATTAAAAATAGTAGCTTGATTAGCTCATAATGCTCCTGTTCTTAATGTTCCATATAGATAGTTTATTTTCTTTAGAGAATTAGGAAATGATAGAGATGTATTAGTTAAATCATATTAAATTTTCTTAACTTTTGATCCTTCGATATATATAAATTATGAATCTATATTGTAGTTTTTAAGTATTAGGATTTTTAATAAAATCCGTTAGCTATTTTTATATATTTTATACTATTAAAAAAACTTGATTTTTTTTAAATATTAATGTTTATTTTCATCTTTAGTTCTATGACACTCTGTCTATATCATTCTTTAGTCTGAGTTTATACTATACTAGCGACTCGCCCTGGCTTCGCCCGGGTTCATCCCTATTTACGTTTTAAGGTTTAGTATAGATTTTTCAAAGATGAGATATTTTCTCGCAGTAAAAAGTATCCCACATATTGACCTAGATAACCAGTTAGCATCATGCTAAATTTCATCAAAATTTGTTTAGTCGTTTTCTCGTGATGCGTCCCCAGAGAAACAGACAATAAAAATTCTATAAACTATAGATTCGGCCTCTGTATCGATAATAATGTCTAATTCAATAAGGTTTTCCAAAAAAATGTTGAATGTACAGATTCGGCTAAGTTAGAATTTTATTATATGTATAGATAGTTAAGCTTCATAAGTCTGATTTTATATTTTAATCTATTCATTTTCGATTTCAATTTAAAAAAAAAGTATATTTGAACTTGAATAGTCTAGAAATGTTTGTAAGATATTATTCTTTTGTTGCGAAAAAGTAATCAGTATGCTTTAAGATAACAAAAACACAATCACATTTCTCCTTAAAGGTATTCGCAATTTTTTGTTAAAAAACATAGTAAATTTCTTTGCATATAAAACTATGTGATTAACATATAAATTTAATAATAATATGTCTGATCTCTTATAGCGAGTGTCGTCCCACCGGAGTATGAGAGTGACAGGAATAGAGAGTGCACGTTGTGTCTGCGCGTACACTTGTGCACTATAATATCTCCGGTGCAGATGGCTAGTCTCACTAATATTTGTCGCTATAGCCGAAATCCGTAGAACATTATTACGTGAGGTTTCCTCGATCTATACATTTACAAAAACTCCTAACTGACTTTTGACTAAGTAGGGACTACCTGTTGAAATTAGTATAGTGTATCTGTCGATATTATTATTCTTTCTACCAAAACATTGTAATCAACTAATGTGTATATGTCAGAAAATATAAGAACTTAAACAAGATGTCGTTCTACCATCGTTGTATAATAGACTTTGAAAATGGTATTGAATTAACCAAAATTGTTACGTTGTTGTTAAACCCATATAATATTTTTATATACTTTAACGGTTGTAGAAGACATCTTGTCTAAGCCCAAAGGATTACCCTCTAGAATATTATCTATTTAATCTGTACTCTACGACACTGCTTGAGGCACTTTACTAGTAAATTTATGTATCACTATTCCAAGCAAACTACTCCAATGTGTCTTCTTGATTTTTTTGCTTTTTTCAAATATATTTTTACTCACTTAACTTACTATAAAGAAATATTTAGGAAGTAACGAATATAATCAAAAGAGCTTTTAAAAATTTAATTAATTAAATTGAGTTTGATGTTTTGAGTTTTTATTTCAGTTTCGGATAATAATAATGTTATTTATATTTATGTACCTGAATTGGTAAGCTTATGCTTTAGAACTTAGTATGATTTTGTTAAAAACATTCATTTTTTTTTAACCAGCGCTCGTAATTTGACCATAGTCAGTGTTTTTATTGTTTACAAAAAAAAAATCGGTTGACAAAGAGAGCAGAAAAAAGAACTAAGCTGCTTTGAAAGTTTGTTTATACATAGATATAAACAAACTAACTTTCATAATTATTTATTGATTACATTAAAACTCGTCGATAGCTTCCAATAAAAAACAAATATTTTGACCATCACAGGAGAAAAAGATAATGAACTGTTTTGACTTTGTCTATTTTTATATGTATGTATAGAATATAGATACTATTTCGTTAGATACCTCATTATATGGGTTTCTTGTGTAATTTCTTCTAAATTGAATATTATATTTAATTTACTAAATAACTTAAACAAAATTATCAACTTAAAATTTATTCACTAATAAACACAATATATAAGAAATACCTGTCAGTTGTATTGTAAGGTGACCCCGAATATTGGCTAATGGAAGCCAGCTCGACGCCTCCTCGGTATATTGACACTAATGCCAAATCTAGCGTGTTAATCTGAAACAAAATTGTTACTTAATTATTTATGTCATACTTAGCTAGCTTAGATTGCGGCCACCCACCCAGTTCAAACGTTTATTTAAAATATGTTATCGGTTAGTCTTTGTGTTATTGTGGGAAATATTATATCTCCATCTATTTCATTCAAAATCATTAAGTCGAAACAGCTTGAAAAAGTAACAAGCGTACACACAAAAACACTTTTTCTTTTTAAATAAAACTATCTTTTCGGATTATTTCACGGATTTATTTTGATTTTTGGTTCCCGACGTTTCGAATGCTTTACAGCAATCATGGGAGAGACTAAGGTTATAGACGTCTCAAACACATACTTGTTACAGACAGCGCCTACCCACTGTTTTAAAAAATGATTTCAAAAATTCAAAAAATAGCAATAAAGTACCTTACAATATTTGTTGATTTTTATTTCTAAACATTTTAATTTTTTTAATAAATATTATAATTAAATATAGCAATATTATTTATTTAATTTTTGCTATTATTATTATAAATATTACAATTTTAAAAAACGGCGGCCGTTTAGAATTGGGGACTTGGCCCCTAGCGGAGTGGGTGGTATTTCTGGATAAGGGACGTGATAGGGAGTCGAAATGTTAAATAAATTTTTTAATACAACAAAAGAGTCAAAAGTTATTGAGACTTAAAGTTATAACATTTCCATACATTATTTTGACATTACTATCATTTAGACACTTGGAGTCAAAACGTCACTTTCAATTGTCAAAATGATCTCCAGATGATTGTCTTTATTTGTACTTTGCGTGAAATTCGAATTTTCTAGTTTTCTAGTCATTTATGGCACTCGCCGGCCGCTACCGCGGCACGCTCGCTTCGCTCGCTCGGCTCGTGCGTTGTGGCAACTGTTCTAACCTAACCTAACCAAGATATGACGAATAATTAATAAATAATCTTAAATGTTCTAACCTAACCTAACCCAGATATGAGGAATAATAAATAAATAATCTTAAATGTTCTAACCTAACCTAACCCAGATATGAGGAATAATAAATAAATAATCTTAAATGTTCTAACCTAACCTAACCAAGATATGACGAATAATTAATAAATAATCTTAAATGTTCTAACCTAACCTAACCCAGATATGAGGAATAATAAATAAATAATCTTAAATGTTCTAACCTAACCTAACCCAGATATGACGAATAATAAATAAATAATTAAAAATATTCACAGATAAAAAAATGATTTTTTTTACTAAATGTACAATTGTAAAACAATATATTTTACATAAATCAAATAAAAAGTTATAAATGTATTTATAAAGTGAAAATAATATTTTTCTTTTTATTTATTTATTTATTAATATTAATATTTTACCAACAGAAAAAGCAAAAATAATCAAATATAATCTGTTGTCATTTAAGCGGTAATATAAAACAAAGTGTCAGTTTTGCTTTTGTCAAAATGTAAGATCATTTTGTTTGTGTTGTGAAATTATTAAAATATTAAATACAATAAAGCATTAATTGTTGTGAAAATGTGTAATGTACATAAAAAAGGATGCGTACTATTCGTTAAAGGTATGTTTATCTGTTGTAATCACTTATTTAGGTAAAGAAATGTATGGAAATGTGTTAGATATGTTATAACTTTAAGTCTCAATAACTTTTTAGTCGTACGTTTCCTCCAAATATTTTTAATATATTTTGACTCTCTGTCACCTCCCCTATCTAAAAATACCACCCACTCCGAATGGTGGTAAAGAAATATATGAAAATGTATGGAAATGTTGTAACTTTAAGTCTCAATAACTTTTGAATCTTTTGTTGTATTAAAAAATTTATTTAACATTTCGACTCCCTATCACGTCCCTTATCCAGAAATACCACCCACTCCGCTAGGGGCCAAGTCCCCAATTCTGAATTTGTGCCTAAAAAACTTTATTGATTACTAATATTATTTAGTGTTGCTATTATTATATTATGTATAACCATAAAGAATATTTAAAAAAAAATATTAATTATTTATCTAAGCAATATTATTGTTTTATATATAATTTAAAAGAAGTTAAAATATTAATTTAGATTGCTATTATTTAAAGCTAAAATATTGAGCAACACTATAGCTACCTTCATAGACAAAAAAGATAGACAAAAAATATAAGAAAGTATTATGTGAAACACATTTTCTTATCGGACTACTGTTAGAAATGCAAAAGTTAGTATGTGTGTAATTTGGTACACTTTAACGCTAAAGTAGTTGAATGGATTTGAATGAGATTTATTTCACATAATAGATCCTGGAGTATACATAAGCTATTTTTAGGCACCTAAGGATGTACCCAAGCGAAACGAGGGTGAGTCGCTAGTTTTAATTGCCGATTGTATTATATAGTATAATTTTGAAAGACATGAGAAATCCGCCAAACCGTACTTGGCCAACGTAATATCCGCTTCGTATTAAAGGGAAGCCCGTAGAGGGTTGACGTCAGGCAGGCGGCCGGTCGTAAAACTTTTGCCAAATCCTATCAGCAGTACAGAAGATGTACTGCGCCGACCCCAAGTGATTGGGAAATGGGCAGGGAGAAGAAGAAGATTGAAGGGAAGCCCGTACCCAGCAGTGAGACGTTAAAAAGAACTGGATACATATTATATAATTACAGCATTATCATATCAAAAGTTATCTATACTAATATTATAAAGAGGTAAAGTTTGTGATCTTGTGAGTTTGTGAGTTTGTGAGTTTGTGACGTTGTAGGGGGTAATCTCTGGATCTACTGAACCGATTTTCAAAATTCTTTTACTAATAGAAAGCCACGTTCTTTCTGAGTGTCATAGGCTATATATATTAACCCGAAAAATCAAAAGGCTTTTTCGTGGTAGTCGGATTTGCAAAGTAAGTCGGAGAAAAAACGGTCGAACGAAAACGTTTCTTACGAACGCTGCCTTAACGATGAGAGATATATGATTATGTTCTAGAGAAAAGTTGTAGAGCTTAATAATGCCTACAAAAAAGTCAGCGACAGCATATGTCTAACTTTTATATTTAAGTCACAAAAAGTAGTTTTCTATATTAAAAAAATCATTTAAATCGGTAGATCATGTTTATTGGTCATATTATCAACAATTATGAATTCTTATCAAAAAGAGTAAATTTATCGTTTAAAATGTTTAAAATAAAAGACTTTTCCCTTTTACTGCATATAATTTGGACAAATGGTTAAAGAGATAATACAACATATTCGTATGTATGGACGAACCCGAGCGAGCTGTTTATCTGTTTTTCTCATTGTACGGGCTAATCTCCGGATCTATTGAACCTATTTAAATGAAATTTTGCATGGTGGTACCTTATATCCCCGGGCAACATCTTAGATACTTTTCATCCTGGAAAATGAAAGGGTTCCCGTGGGATAGTTAAAAAACTATAACAACTTATACATCTTAGTACACAAAAACTACTGATTGGATTTTAATGAAACTTTACAATAATATAGTTCATACATAACAAAAACAAATCAGCTACTTTTCATCCCGGATAATTAAAGAGTTTCCGTGGGAGAGTCAAAAAACTATAGTAACATATACAGCTTAGTACACAAAAACCACTGATTGGATTTTGATAAAACTTTACAATAATATAGTTCATACATCAGAATAACAAATAGGTAACTTTTTATCCCGGAAAAACGTACTTTTCCCGTGGGATAGATGTTTTTGTTTATTTGTAACGTATTATGTACACAACATAGAACCCAAAACAATAGTTATTAAAAAAATTGTCTGTTTGCTTTATGTCTGTTTGTCTGTTTTTGTGTGCGCGTTTCACGCGAAAAGTAATGTACCGATTTCAACGAAATTTGGTGAAGTGATAACTTATTACTCGAGTCAACATTTAGGATACCTTTTGTATGTATGTATGTATGTATGTATGTATGTATGTATGTATGTATGTATGTATGTATGTATGTATGTTGTATTCAGCCCTTTTTAACACACGCACGGGCCTCCCTTCAGTACGAGGTGGATCAGGCCATAGTCCACCACGCTGGCCAATATCAGAGGTGCTAGACCCGGGATTTGAACTTGCATCACTCGGTTTCCCAAGCGAGCCCGTTACCACTGGGATACCACTGACTAGATAACTTTTACTTAAAGAAAATCTTTCTTTCCCACTGGAAAATATAATAACTGGTTTTATCGAGTCCTCCCTAGAAACCTTCCTCTGGCTAAGCCTTAAGACATACATCAAAACAATATACTAAAAAATTGTAGGTCTTGAAAAGTCCTACAGAAAAGTTCTGAATAGTATATGTCTATCTCCTAAGTTACACTCGCAATATTTATTCTTATCTATACCTATAATAAAACTTAGTCAAATCGATGTGCGCGTTTCACGCAAAAAGTACTCAACCGATTTTTACTTCATTTTGTATAGTGATAAAACTTAGTGCTCGGGTCAACATTTAGAATAGTTTTTACGACAGGCAAATTATTCATTCCCACGGGAAAATACAATAACTGGTTCTATCGAATTGTACTTAGAAATTTATATGGCTAACGTTGGCTCAACCTTAAGAGATAGATCAAAACATTGTACAAGAAAATTGTAAGTCTTAAAAAGGTCTATAGAAAAGTTCTACATACGATAGTATCGGTCTATCTCCAAAGGTACACTCGCTATAACTATTTTCATTATTATATATTTCTGTTTTATTATACGTTATTTATTCTATCTGAATATAGGTACATATATGAATAATAAAACTGTAGAGGTCGAATGTCTGTACATAGATGGTGGAAAAAATTGCTAAAAAACGAGTCAGTTCTATAGTTCTATAGAACAAATTCAGATTTTGTTCATTTTTTTTGTTTCTCTGTCTGTTTGTCTGTTCGTACGGGCTAATCTCCGATACTATTGAACCTATTTAAATGAAATTTGATACTTTTCATTCCGGAAAATTAAAGAGTTCCCGTGGGATAGTTAAAAAATTATAGTAACTTATATACAGCTCA